AAAATTGAATCCAACCAACTTCCGCTATATTTTCATTTCTCGAGTAGATAAATATGTTTTCAAGGCGACTCGATTGAAGACATAAAAACTACATTAAGAAAATTCCAGACCATCGAGTAACGAAGCCATAAATATTTTTATTTCCCTGTAATCGTATCTCTTGCAGCGACAGAAAATAAATTGATAAAACTTGAGATGGTCTGATGTAGGCAGCAGTTGCAAAGTGTATTTTCGCGTTCTTTTTTTTAATTGTCGATATGATGAATAGAACAAGCAAATCAATATTTGAGGTAATCAGTGGCGGCTCTCAGTAAATATGAAACCCTAAAATCGCTTTTTCATATTTTCACACATGACGAGTATAACTGTTGTTAAAGAGGGTTCTATAATAGTTGTTTTCACACGCACAAACATTTATTTATTTAATCAGAAAGGCACATTTTTAAGGAAATCAGCAAAACTAAAATATGATCTATTTAACTGTATTTATCAACTATGTATTGAAACCAAGAAGTATCGCAGCTCAGTTATGTCAAGATTTAATTAGAAAACACTTTTTATTTCAAACACCTTAATAGCAGTAAAAAAATCGATCACTAAAAAGAGCAAGTAAATTCCAGGTTGTAATAGTGTAATTTAAAAATGTTATATGCTAATTTGCCTTCCAATGTTTTCTAGACAGTAGAGAAGATTGAAAAATTCGATTACCCAAATAACAAAGCGTTCTCTTTCAAACCAGTAATTCTGTTCCCCAGTTTCCATGAATAAAATTTCCAAAATGCCACGTGACTTTTGTATTTTTTACCATTTATTTCAAAGTAATCAAGTTACGGCACATTAATAGAGCGGAAAATTTAAGCTATCCTTCTATAGTAGAAATGAGGTCGACCTAAATGGAAACTCTTCTAATTTTGTGTGGGTTTGCAAATTGCTTGCTGTGTCAACTGAGCTGATAGTGTTATAAAGTTGGGATCGAGTTACAGTTCCAGGAAGAGAACTAATTACTCAATGTCCGCTGTTCTCTTTAGCAGTGAGACATAAAGTTTTGTTATTTACTTTCTTAAGCGCCTAAGCAAACATGCACATGGAATTGAGCAATTGCTCAAAAAAAGTTATTTCTGAAACAGCTAATTGTAAAACTGCAAAAAATATGTACATAGGAAAAGGACCAGCTTCAAAACTAGAACCACAAATAGTTTAATTAACTATTCACTTTAAATAACTTCATCCTTTCCACTATTTTACATTTTATTGTTTTCCTTCTCTACCCACGCCCACGTGATCGATATTTGGCAATTTTGCAACACCTTTGGAAAACAAACTTTATTCACGGATAATTTTTTATTACATTCTCTTTATCCGATCACGTTTTTTGCCTGAGAATAAGAAACGATGTGTGCACAACAGGCGACATGACTTATTACGAAGCGGCAGATGTTCTCAGTCACTATTTCCCCAAGAATATAGGATTTTCTTTGAAGCATTCTGAATGTTATTCTGTTTGTTGCCAGGGATAACAGCTTTTCTAAAGTATATAAATCTCCTTTCCTTTTAAGGCGATCCTGACGTTTTATTTAGAAAGGCAACTAGTGAAAATACGATTGTTGAAAAATGGAATGTAATACTGTATTGATGTCGATATGTTTTACTCTTTCGAACATATTTTCAGAAATGGGTGCATGTGTCCGATCTGTTTCCAATTCGAACCTGGAACGTAATTGAAATGTGTTGGAATTTATTGTATCTAGTCTAGCCTTTTACCAGACTTTTTGCACTTTATTTAAGAAATCTGCTGCATTCATCTGGAAGTATGGTAGACGAAGTGACACATGGAGCTTCTAATTAAAAAGAAAAGCTTAAAATAAACATTTATAATTTTTTCAACATTTAGCAACAAATAAAGACTCTTTCTAAAGTTATCCCAGCAAGGTTTTTAGCAAAACATTTGCAATAAAAATTTTAGGTCTTGCTGCAGTTAAATAAATAAATTATTGAGAGAATATTAAATTAAAAAGTTTCGACAATTGTCAAGAATTTTAACAGCTTGAAACGTAAAATGTTGAAACGTTTACTTTAACACACACACCAATCACTCGAAAAAAAAACGTATTATTTTTCATTAACACTGTCAGCTATTTGTTGCTATGTTCACCGCTTAAAAAGAATACAAACAGTTAAAAAATTAACTCAATCAACTATTTTCGATTTTTTTAGCAATAAAAATTTACTTATAAATACATAATAAAACTAATTAAACTTGAAAATAATTGCAAAATGCTGTAGTATCATATTCTCTATATTTGATTGATTAGCAATTAACAAAWATCGAAAATCACATCAGAACTTCAGTTTCAACTGGGAAAGTTCTTTATGATTGATTTATTTCACGATAGCCAAAGTAGAAAGTTTAAAATTATATTTTTTTATTTTTTTCCTTTAGAATGGACTTATCTCAGRAAAGAGTATAACGGGAAAAAACAAGTTAAGAATTTTCACTCCCGTGAAAGGAGAGGAGACACAGCAGCTCGCTTTAAAAGGCTGATTTATGACAATTTATAAACAAAATTTTCTTATATTTTTTATAGGTATAAGATAAGCGAACAATTAAATAAACAAATATGGGTAGCCCAGAGAGAAAAAGTAATATACTATTCGATTTCGTGCGGAAATTATAAATAAAAATCGGTCCAGAAAATGAATATTTTTCGAATGGCTGAAATTTACGGCGCAGTGATTAATAATCAGAACATCACAAAATGTAAAAACATTTTTCGCTATTTGATAATTATATTCAGAATGTTTGGTAAGTAGATGTTTAGTAAGCATTCCTTGTAATTTTCGATACATCTCCGATCTACAACGTGTTATTAATTTAAAAAATTATATTTTTTAATATTGCGGAAACCCATTGGAATATTTTTATGAAATTTTACAGACTTAACAGTAATACATGTTTTGTGGTAAAAATTTTGTTTTTAGCTTGGCTAGTGGCGTGGGCACAGGCACGTCTGAAGATAATTTAAAATAAAAAAATGTTACGCCACGGTTTTTTCAAAAAATAAATATTATTTTTCAAG